TTTTTTTTTGTTACTCATAGAAGTTTGTGATATAATATTCATTCTGGTACCAAAAAATTCGCAAATAAATTCTCTACAAAACGTATATAATATAACTTCTTATGGATGATAAAAAATTCCAAATAGGTGTACTTACCGTGTCTATGTTGATTGAAGATCAACAGTTGAGCATTTTTTCTTCGCTCCACCATCTTCAGGCTTCTGATCCTGAAGTTGCTCATCTGATGTTTCTTAGGTGGAGTGAAGCTGTTGTCGGTGGTTATTTTTTCTCCACCCAAAATATCTTTCTTCGGTGGTACCTTGTGTAGCAAGGCACAGCGCACAGTGCCACATCACAAGTTTTACATCCAAGTCTCACGTTCCTCCTTATGCCAGACTTGAAACAAACACGGCATCTTCTTTTTTTAGTTCACGATTTCATGCGTCAACTTGTAGTTCAGACGTTGTTCTGAATCGATAATTCTTCTATTTCTTGGATGCACTGGAGGAATATTGTCTTCTACAGGAACCACTAAACTTGTAGTAGAATCTTCTATGAAATCCGTAACATCAAGTGGTTCTATGTCCTCAATGTCCATTTCAGAATTTGTTGTTGATGAGTGGGCTTGAGGTGTTGAGGTGAAAAGAGACCGTCTCGCACCAGATGGCCCGGGTGTTGAAACTGCCGCGTCAGCAGGAGCTGCTGCGCTGGCATCTATGTCGGCAACATGTGGTATGCTTGTTGTTGTTGGCCAGTCCTCGCTGTTCCACGCCAATAAGGCTTTTATTCCTACTGCGTGAAACTCTAATAATGTTAGTTTTTTTGTGTCTGTTGAGTAGTAGTTATACAATGCGTATGCATTGTGCATGGCCATTTGCAGAAAATGGAAAGTGATCTTCTTGGTCCATTTGTGCGTTTTTCTTGCAAACTCATAATACTTGACCATTTGATCGAAATGATCAACACCTTTCATGAACTTATTGTAATCCACTATGGCCTTTGGTTTGTTCATTTTCACAATTTCTACTGCAGTTCTCCCGTCACGTTTACGAACGCGTTTCCTGCGCTGCGCTTGAGTAGTGTCGGCTTTGTGGATATTGGTGATGACAGAGACGGGGCGCTTGTCCTTCCAAACTATAACAAAGGTGTTATCCTTATGCATGTATAGGGTCGTGTCGGTTGCCATTTTACCCTTTACCACTTGTTGCAGATCCTTGGGGGCGCCACGTTGGAGTCTAAGTGTGCCACATGTGTAAACACCCACTTCACGTAATTGTTCTGTTAGGCTTACCGAGTTATAGTAGTTATCCATATACAAATGATAACCCTTGTTGACTAGGGGCGCCATCAACCCCATCACGGTTTCCACTGTCGCTTTTCCAATTCCACAATACACATCAAATTTATATATGTAGCCTGATGTCCCGTCGGCCAACATATAAAATTTTACACCATATTTATCAGGCTTGTTGGGATTGTAGACCTTGAAAGAGAGGCGGCCGCGCCATGCCATTGTACCCTCATCGAGACTCAATTCTTTTTTGGGGATATATACAGATGCAAATTTTTCTGAAAAATAGTCCATTAGTGGTCTAACTTTTATCAATCGGTCACTATTATTCACTGGAACGCCTTTTTTGTTATACATGTGGAAGAACTTAGAAATGTGTTGGAACCGAGCAGACGACATAAACAAGTTGAAGAATCGACAATGCCACATCTGATTCGTCTGCCAGTACATCCTCATTGTAGGCATCTTCACTATGCCCATCAGTATGCACAGGGCCAAATATCGGGCCATTTCTTTCACAGACACTGGTTTCCACGTTTTTCTTGCTGAGTCAGTCATGAGATGTATGATGTGTGTGGCATGCAAATTGGTTTCATACACTAAGTATTCAACCACTGCTCTAGTGAAAATTAGTTGTAAAAACTGCAATGGAGTAGTAGGTAGTGGAATTGTTAGGCCAGGGTTTGCAGAAAAGTCATCAACGATGGGAGGAGTATTGCTACGATTCCACTCATCACCCAGCCTAGCCCTCTTTGGTACCGGACACGTGCGGTTTCCGCGTGGCGGGGCTGGGGCTTCTTCATCACTCTTATCCTCACTCTCACTCGAAATATCATCATAAGTTGTGGAAACCTCATATAGCACGTCATTTTCAGGTTCGTCAGCCTCAAAATCATCATCAGAAGACCCTGAAAAGGCTTCAACAACGTCGGGAATCTTGGATGGAGTGAGCTTGACCCCACGATACAGATCGTGAATCATGGCGATCTCTTCTGCTTTCCTAGATTTCCTACCTTTCTTTTGCGTTCCACTGCTTGTTCCTGGTGCAGCATCCATGTTGAAGGTATTGAATGGGTTTTAGGTACACGAGAACGGAAACGGAACGGAAATAAATGCGTAAAACGGGTCACGTTTGCCGCGAGAGGGGAGCGCAGTGTGGGCACTTGGTGTCAACAAAACAATGGGCCGACCACGTGACCGGGTAGGCCGAGATGCCATGTGTTCGGTGAGGGAGAACGGGAATTTCATGGCGAAAAATCTGAGAGTATCCCCATCCAGATCGGTTAGAAAATGGAATTTATACAAATATTTTTTCGCTGGACTACAGGCGTAGTCTGTTATGCGGAAACGTAAGAAAATACGGTGACGACCTATGGCTAATCTAAAGCGCGAAAGTGTTCTAGATTATATCACAAGGCGTATTTAATATTGAACAGGACACGATCACTCTTTCCTAAGGGAGTAAGGTACTGGATGTGAAATATCTCTTCTTTCCTGGTGAATATTAGATCCAGTACTGACGGAACATCCCCTCCCTCATTCTTGTGGCCTGCTTGACGTGATGACACGTGAATGTCTCCAAAATAAGGTTTACCAATCTGCCCATCCGAATGTCCTCTGTTCTTGCCTCGTAGGCCTCCCAGTCTATTGCCTTAAAGTTGAATTCCCCCAGTACCAACAATTTGGATTTATCTTTGTCTGCCTTTACCGTAATCTCTCTCATGACCATTATGAGGCCCTCTCGTTTGTCATCTAGTTCTTTCTTTGTCCATGTGTTGCTTGCTGGTGGGCTGTAGGCATTTAAAATTATCAGCTTATCATCCTGATTCCAGACCTGCAATATTATTATGTCAACATCTCAAGGGTTTTCAATTATTAATTCTCTTATCTTCAGGTGTTTTTTTTTTTATCAACACAGCCACTCCTCCCTGTTACGGCCACTATGGGCCAGTAACTGGGTTCTTGATGTTATAACCTCTTTTACTATAGACGACCTCATGTCGGTAGTAAGCTTTCAAGAATTGGCCACGTCAAGCAGTAGTGCACTGCATAAATAAAGGGGAGGGGGGTATAAGCAAGACACAATTCCCTTTACCAATATTTTTACATCTTCACCATTATATATATTATAATAGATTATTACTATAGGTATGTACATAATGCCTCTATTACTCAGGGCACAACACAATGACAGTGTTCATCAAACCCAGTGAACCCACATTCCAGGTATACGTTGTCACGTTGTCCACTGGCAAACACTGGCGAGTTCACCTTCTACATGGGCCAGTCCACCCACACAGTATCATGATATGCCTACACCCTACCTTCGCTTGATCCTAGTATTTTTTCTATGATTTTCTTCTCTTCTGTTGCTCTGTGCTCCCTAGATGAAATTTCCTTCTCTAAACATCCAAAAATTATTATGGACTTACTTCTATCTGCAGTGTTTTGTACTAGTTTACTGTTGGTTACCAGTTCTTTCCTAATTGCTCGTCTTACTTCTGCTTCTTGTTTGTCATATCTTGTTTTGACTTCCAAACACACTACCTTAATCATCTCTTTCTCTTCTACAACTTGTACATACGTCTCTTATTTCTTCCTTATACTTTTCTAGTTCTTTCTTAATCTCCTCTATGTGAGTTGTCAATGAAGTTTTCAGTCACAGATCCTTGCATAACTCTGTTAGCCCTCAGGGTCACTTGGAGTTGTTCACTATATGAGTCTATTTTCTTATTTATTCTTCTTTCACTAGTTCCTTGATTTGTTCCTCCTGATTTATTACCTTGTCCATTAATGCAGTAATAATCTTACCTTGCTGAAGAATACTCCCTTTTAGAGTGCAAAACTCACTCCTGAGAGCTCTATTGCCCTCTTCCAGTTTAAGCACTTTTTCTTATACTTCTTTTGCATATCCTCAATTATCTCTAACCTGCCAAGAACACCTCCTTTCCTTATATCTTGTGGTGAGAATCCTATAAAACAATCATCTGTTGGTGTGTTTACATTCCTCATGGTAGTGTTGGCAGCCATCCTTGTTATTAACAATAGTTTGTTCTATCTTGAGGTTATCTTGAGATGATTTCGGGGCTTTAGTGTCCCCGCGGCCCAGTCCTCGACCAGGCCTCATCCCCCAAGAAGCAGCCCGTGACAGCTGACTAACTCCCAGGAACCTATTTAATGCTAGGTAACGGGCATCAGGGGTGAAAGAAACTCTGCCCATCGTTTCTCACTGGCACCCGGGATCGAACCCGGGAAAACACGATCACGCGTACAGTGTTCTGTCTGCTCAGTCACCGGCTCCCCGGTGTTCTAGAAAACAAACTTTTCCAACTTGGTTATTTTCACCCACTTTCACGTCTTTATTGTATCATATTTGGTTTTTACACTTCCCTGAACCTTTATGTAACCTGGGACACCACTGTAGCCCTCAACCTGTTTCCAATACTTAGGTAATTCAATATTCCAGGAGCTTGCTGTGGTGTGTTGTATACTTGTGTTTTCATGTAATGTTTTATCTTATTGTGTTATAAAATTTTATTTTGATATTTAAACATAGAATGTAATCAACTAGCTTGCGGGTTTTGTTCTCCATTGAGGTCATAATTATTGTGTTTATTAGCTTGTTTTAATTACTATATTAAAGGTTCTATTAGTGTATATGTTTTATCAATAATTGTAATATTTTTGAGCTGGATCTAGTTGAATACTACCTTTTGCATTTTTCTATAGCAAAATATGGCTATGAATATGTCTACCGAAGCCTGCATGAGAGGTTTGGGATGCGTGTGCACGTGAGTCGGTGGAAATACAGAATGTATGACACAGTACCTGAAATTCAAGATGCACTTACTCCAGATGCTACTGAAACATGGATTCATGCCTGCGACTGGAGGGTTAGTAAATGTATATGAATTCTGTATACTTGATACTATACAAAATTTATTAGTTTTAGTTTAATGTTTCATTAAGGGGCCGGGAAATCAGGTTTGTCAATCTTGCTCAAACGCTTTCAAATTTTGTGTACATAATCTACTTGGCACATGCTCCAACTTTGTCTAAATAAGTATCCACTCAATTTAACGGCCTCTTTTATACCGATCTGCCAGTAATAACGACCGGTTTGGGAGACCGGTATCTAGAGCCTCATATAACGGTCTGGCGGTCGATATTACTGAAGGTCGGTATTGGGTTTGTTTTGGCATCAGGGGGTCCTCACATGGCAAGCAGGCCGCCTACCTCTATCGTCCCCTCACTCACCCTCACTGCACCTCTCCCCCACTCCCACACTCCTGCTCTCCCCCCACACCCTCATTTCCTGCCTTCCCCCCCCCCATCCCCCCAAGACCGTTCTGGGAGGTGGCTCAGTAGATTGCCAGCCCAGAGAGCCTGGAGAATCTTCATCTAATACAATAAAGCATTCATGAAACAAGTATTTTATAACTTTTTATGATCCTAATAATATTACTAAATAAAATCTGCAACCAAAAATATATACCCGCCTCCCCACTCTGCCTGCCCATCCACCCACCAGTCAGCCATCACTGACACAACGAGTGCATTTGGAGCCGACATGGTGCACGGATGTTCCTTGATTGTGCCGATATGTCCAACAAAGTCAAGGAATGAACACTCCAGCCTCTTGACAAATAAAAAAATGTGCCGTGAATCTGTGACGTCACAGGGTAGAAGGCACTAGAGTGGTGGACCAAGAGGCAGTCTGTATATACATAATATATCTTACCTGAATGTTACTTGAAAAATTACCAACACTTAACTTCGGAAATGCTGGAGCTCCGGAAATAACGACCAGGGTCCTGCCCCATATAGGCCGTTAAATCGATTGGATACTTGAAAAACAAAAAAGTAAAAAATAATTATAAAATTTAATATAGAAAATTTCAGATTTTCAAATGAGCATCAAAAATATAAAATATCAATTTTTTGTCATTTAGTGGTGTTATGCTCCAAAAAGAGCATATGATCTTCATTTTTATTTGTTATTATTATAGTACAGTATTCAGTATAGTTTACTATAAAAAAAAATTCAATATGGCAATTGAGATATGCGTCAAATTTAGACTGAAATATTTATAACTCCCAACATTTAGGGTTTATGAAAAAACAATCCAATAGGATTGTAGAACAGACAGCTGTGCTCACTAGATGTAAAAATGGTGAGAATCGGTCAGAAACTTGATTTTTGATGCCGACTCAAAGTTGAAATTCTAGTTTTAGAAATAATTGAAGTTGAAGTTATCGATAATGAATAAGGTAGCTCTAATTCTTTAATTTACTTGTATGTTTTAATAAACATTGTTTGGCATTCGTACTCGAATGTGTGAAAGTTGTAGGTCAATAGGTGTTGAAGTGAAGTCAAGAAAAAATACCCCCCCCCCTCCCAAAAAAACTAGGGATAATTATATTGATTTAGGAGATTTATATGTATACCTTATATAAGTGATAAAGCCCTAATCTGGTCCCTAATCATCAAAACAACCTAAAGAGACAAAGAAATAGAGTTTGAAATATGTGAAAAATCACCCCCCCCCCCTCTAAAAAATTCAAAGTCCCATGTTCTGCCAGTTGTGGCTGATGTATTTGTTGACCAATTACATTATATCTTTACATAGTTAAGAACGGGTATGCAGTCTCTAGGATGTAAACATTACAACAAAATCAGATAATAAACAAAGGCAAAAAAAAAACATCTTCCCCTAAAAAAAATTTTTTATGGACATTGGTGAAAGTAAAACTTTGTGGGGTGTGAGACATTACTATTCTTCTTCTTTGTGCGTCGGACAGGTGCTTGCATCTCTTTATTACTGCATTATTCTTCCTTGTCAACAAAACAGTTTTTCTGTGGGGAGCCCCTACGGCTCCCTGGAGCTTATCGGGCTAATGTATGTTATGTTAGACCGGGACATTAGCTAAGGAGTTCAGACCTACCAGGGACCAGCGCCAGAACCTGGCCCCTTCAGAGAGGTTTCAGGGAGCAATGGCCCTGGAAAACCCCATATGGTTGGGGGTTTTCCTTATCTGCCATAGACCGGGGTTAGGCACCCAGAAAGGTAGGCGTAACAAAACAAACCCCACATGGTAAGAAACTACAACAAAAACCGAACAGAGAGGTAGAAAACTCCCTACAATCCCAAGGAAACAAGCAAACAAGCAAACATCACACTTTACTGCCACGCCGATCGTCCGCGCAGCCCTCCCCACCCCGGGAGGGGGAGGGGGGAGCCCCGGACCTACCGCGCCGGCTGCCAAGCTTCAGTTCGTTCGCTAATGTCAACCGGGATTGACGCTTCTCTGGCCTCAGTTTCCTAGGCGGTGTTTGCCTTGTGTGGCGTTCACTGCCGTGTGTTGTGGTGTGCGGTGGCCAGGAGTACTTCATCAGTGCCGGGGCTGCATGTGCTTAGTGGCTGCCTTCCCTAAGCGCCCTGTGAGTACTGCCCTTGCGTAACAGGGTTATCTTCCCTGGGGCGTTCGGGAACCATTCCCGTTGAGGTTCTTGCTGCTTGGCATTTGCCTCGCCCTTGGGGCCAGCTGGGGCTTGGGGCCCTTGTTTGGCCCTGGGTAGGGATTGGTATTGTGCTGGTTAGGGCGTCAAGGTGTTGCGCAGCCTGCCACCTAAGCGGCGGCCTTCAGGGGTTTTTCTTCTGTTGCCTCTGGAGACGGTGTACTTTTGCGGGGTTTTTCTTTTGTTTTTCATTTTTCTTGCCTGGTGGGGGTCTGCCTAAGGTGGTTATAGTTCCACTGGTAGTGTTTGGCGGCCCTCTGCTAGGCCCCCGTGATTGTCCACGTCTCAGGGGTTTTCAGTGCTATAATCTACCCTCTTGTTATGTTTGGGTTTCTTCACCGGTTAGCAACACCTTGCCCGGGCTTCCCGTAGTTGTTACCCTACGGGCCCTGGAAACCCCTGTCTGGGCTCGGGGGACCATTGAATGTGTCTTCCGGGTTCCAACCCGTCTTGTACGGGATCGTTGGTTGCTGTTCCCTTGTCTCCGGGTGACAGTCGCCAATTTTACCTCTGTCGTGCTGCCTGTTGGGTCCCTGACACCTTCTCCTGTTGTCGTTTCTTTGTTTTTCTGGTGTTTTCTTGCCGTTGCCTGTTCCTCTGGGAACGTTTGGGTGTTGATTTTGAGTCTGAGCCTATGGGTTTAGGCTCAGTGCCCCTGGCTGGTATGCTTGCTCCCACACCTTGCCCCTCGGTTTTCAGTCTGTTGGGACCGTTTTCCCAGGGCGTTCTGCTGGGGGCTGTACTTTGCCTTTCAGTGGTGTTCTCCGCCGGCAAATGTGGTGGTTGGGCTCCCCCTGGTTCGATTCTGGGTTCCTTTGGGTTCCTTGGTTTCGTTCTGGAGGTTTCTTCCTCGTGGGCCCCCTTTTGTGGGTTCAGGGGACTTTGTTTCCTCGTGTGCCCCGGTTCTGCCTTTTGGGGTTCCGGGGTCTTTCTGGCTTGCAGGCTGAGCTTTTTGGGTCTTGGCACATGTTGTGGTTGTGCTGGGACTTTGTGGTTTTGCTGTCGAGGTGGGCCTTTTGATGCAGTTTTGTGCCTTCTTTGCCTGGCCGGCGTAGTGCTCTCTGCCACTAGTCGGCGGCTTGTGCTTTTACAATATATGTCTTCACCTAGTTGTGCTTGTGGGGGTTGAGCTCTGGCTCCATGGTCCTGCCTCTCAACCGTCCATCAACAGGTAATTACCTAAGTGTAGTTACAGGATGAGAGCTACGCTCGTGGTGTCCCGTCTTCCCAGCACTCTTTGTCATATAACGCTTTGAAACTACTGACGGTCTTGGCCTCCACCACCTTCTCACTTAACTTGTTCCAACCGTCTACCACTCTATTTGCGAAGGTGAATTTTCTTATATTTCTTCGGCATCTGTGTTTAGCTAGTTTAAATCTATGACCTCTTGTTCTTGAAGTTCCAGGTCTCAGGAAGTCTTCCCTGTCGATTTTATCAAGTCCTGTTACTATTTTGTACGTAGTGATCATATCACCTCTTTTTCTTCTGTCTTCTAGTTTTGGCATATTTAATGCTTCTAACCTCTCCTCGTAGCTCTTGCCCTTCAGTTCTGGGAGCCACTTAGTAGCATGTCTTTGCACCTTTTCCAGTTTGTTGATGTGCTTCTTAAGATATGGGCACCACACAACAGCTGCATATTCTAGCTTTGGCCTAACAAAAGTCATGAACAATTTCTTTAGTATATCGCCATCCATGTATTTAAATGCAATTCTGAAGTTAGAAAGCATAGCATAGGCTCCTTGCACAATATTCTTTATGTGGTCCTCAGGTGATAGTTTTCTATCTAGAACCACTCCTAGATCTCTTTCTTTATCAGAATTCTTTAAAGATTTCTCACATAATATATAGGTTGTGTGGGGTCTATGTTCTCCTATTCCACATTCCATAACATGACATTTATTAACATTAAATTCCATTTGCCAAGTGGTGCTCCATATACTTATTTTGTCCAGGTCTTCTTGAAGGGCATGACAGTCATCTAAATTTCTTATCCTTCCTATTATCTTAGCATCATCAGCAAACATGTTCATATAATTCTGTATACCAACTGGTAGATCATTTATGTACACAATAAACATCACTGGTGCAAGAACTGAACCCTGTGGTACTCCACTAGTGACATTTCTCCATTCTGATACATTGCCTCTGATTACTGCCCTCATTTTTCTATCAGTCAGAAAATTTTTCATCCATGATAGAAGCTTACCTGTCACCCCTCCAATATTTTCCAGTTTCCAGAACAACCTCTTATGTGGAACTCTGTCGAAAGCCTTTTTTAGGTCCAGATAGATGCAGTCAACCCAACCATCTCTTTCCTGTAATATCTCTGTGGCTCGATCATAGAAACTGAGTAAATTCGATACACAGGATCT